CATGTATGTATTGCTTTATGTGTACTTCACCTACCTATTAATATTCAACAACTTGCTAGTTTTTTTATGGCTTTGCACACTGTTCAAAACTCCACCCAGCTTCTTTATCATTGTTTGCAGTATATAATTCATTGTCCTCTGCAGCGCTCTCAGTCCCGCTACAGCTTCGTTCCACATTACAATAGCAGCACAAGTAAGTAAGAAACATCCTTTTACTTTTGTTCCACATTTGTTAGTTGACTGGCTCTTTTGTAAATAAATCACATGAAATGTTCTCCATTATAGCTGGAATGTACTGAAACAGGCAGTTAAACCCTCAAAACAAACATTGTTGACATTAAATGTAAGATTTATGATGAATTCGCAATTTTTCAATATTACTTATTATATATATTTTGAGTTCTTACTGTTTCGATGTATCATCATGACTCTGCAAATCTCACCGGTTTACAGGCCTCCCACACTGATAAGAGAACTGCCTTAAAGTTAAACAACTATTTCATATACACGCTTCACACAGGTTATTTCTCTGCCATTAATCATTGTACCCATTACACACTGTTCAGGTCAAAGGTGACCTGACATTTAACAGCAGTAATGGTGTGATGTGAATGTGAAACTATACACGCCAACGCTGTGTGTGTTTCTTATGGCACGGTGGTGACAGAGTTCAGAGAAAGACTTAAGACTGTCAGATAAACATTCTGTGTTCCCACCATAGTTCCCACCTTTATCCAGCAGGTACATACTGGTCTTTGAAGGCAATGCAGGAATCTCAGAACAATGAAATAGCAAAACAACATAGGAATCAAAGACCTACAGAGGTCAGAGGGTGCCTGTTTTAAATCGTAGGGCCTTTCTGTGTGGTATTTGCATGTTCTCCCTTCAGGTATACTAGCTTCTTTCCACAGTGCAAAGGCATGCATGGCACATTAATTATTCTAAACCGGCCATTTACAAAGGCAGAAAACAAACTAACAATATCAAATTAGCATCTATTTATTTATTTATTGAATTAACCCAGAGGTAACTGAGATTTAAAGAAGGTTCGTAAGAGGCGTTGATGGGTGGATGTGGCTTCCTACTACTGCTTTGAATATAAAGACTACTTAGCTGTAAGATGGCTAAGTAGTAGTTATAGCTTAGCAATAACAAATGCTGCTTTTAACAGTTGAAGTGGTTATGCATGCTTAAATAACAAATCCCAGCAGTTTCAGAATGCTCCAGCCATTTTCACTTTGAATAAATCACATGTTTTATTATGTTTTCTCGTCTTAGGTAAAACAGGACATGATATAGTGTGATAACAGATGTCCAAAAACAAGAGCATGAAAACCTCAAAAACGCACTCCCTTCTCTCTTTTGTCTGAAATGTTCATCACGGTGGATTCATCCATTTCTTCATGTCAGATTGCCTGTTGATATATTCTAAATTGATCAGTAGTTCAAACTTGACAAACTTGACTTGATCCACTTGATCTGATGGATTAAATATGAAACATATGTAAGGCTTAAAATACATTATACATACATATTCATTACTTTTGTATTCTGGGTTTTGTTGGTGTTTAGAGATATTTCTATCTGTTTCTTTGTGCTCAGATGTATTCTAGCCTCCCCAATATCTCTTTGGATCTTCTTAAGTCTTTGTTTCTGTGTTATATGTTGTTGACTGAAGGTGAAAAATAAAATTTTCTAATTAACCTGCCAGTTCCCAAGTACAGAGTTGTGCACATGTATGAGGTTCAAAGTGGTTGACTGATAGCGATAGTGCAAAGTGGAGTGAACTGTGACCTACAGCTGGCTCTTTTTTTGGCTAATGTAATAATGTGATCACCCTGTGTGTTTAATAGTCACTTGTTTTCTTACCTCCAACCGGTCGCGGTAGATGGCCGTCCCTCTCGGTGTTTTCCTGTTAAAAGGGAGTTTTTCTTTCCCACTATTACAAAGCGATCGCTCATAGGACGCCATCTGATTGTTGGATTTCGGTTTCTCTTTACTCCGTATTATTGTAGGGTCTCTACGTCACAGTATAAAGCACCTTGAAGCAACTGCTGTGATTAGGCGCTCTATAAATAAAACTGAAATGAATTGTATTTGATTTTTGTAAGGAAAATGTAGCTCAGACTGGATGCTCACGTAAAGTAGTCAAAGTCAATATATAATCATCTTTCGTTCTGCATTGTAGCTCTCTCTCTCTTTCTCTGCGTGCAGACATGTCGACCAAGGTTGCCGTGGTCACCGGCAGTAACAAAGGCATCGGTCTGGCCGTCGTCCGAGCGCTTTGCAAGCAGTTCAATGGAGATGTTTACGTCACCTCCAGAGATGTGTAGGTATCTTTACCTGGTACCACCTGGACCGAGCCTGGGTCACGTGGGACAAATATAACTGCAGTCACATCCTTAACTGCAATCTATGTGGATTTAATAGCACTTGTGGACATTATTACAATATCCTTGAAGACTTTGTTTTAAGTTTTAGTTTTGGGGAAAATGTAATATTCATGTAAATATTCATGAATATTCACCAACTGCCAGAGTTAATGTCAACGTCAATGTCAATTATTTCTATAGCATATTTAAGACAACGTAGTTGACCAAAGTGCTTTACAGCTTAGTTAATGAACAGAAAATACAATACACTGTGACAACATAAACAAAAAACTCAACGGTACACAAACTGAATTCTAATTAAAGGCCAAGGTGAAAAATTTAGTTTTAAGATGGAATTTAAAAGACTGTTTCAACTCTGAAGTATGAATATCGAGTGGCGAGTTATTCCAGAGTCCAGGGGCTGCAACAGCAAAGGTCCGATCCTCTCTATGGTTTAATCGAGACTTCGGTTGTACTAAGAGCATCTGGCTCGATGATCTCAGTGCTCCTTTGAGGTTATATATGTTGAGGTGTTTGCTTAAGCAGCTGAGTCCCATACCATTTAAAACTTTGAAAGTAAAAAGTAAAAGAATCAGGGAGCCAGTGCAAATTTGCTAAAGCTGGAGTGATCATTCCTCCTGACACCTGTTAAAAGACATGCTGCAGCACTTTGGACTAACTGCAAGTGATGGCGAGATGAATGTTCAAGACCCAAATAAAGAGAACTGCAGTAGTCGAGTCTAGTGGAGATGTAGGCATGAATACATTTTTCAAGGTCATCTGAAGGAAGATAAGTTTCACTTTGGCAATTTCACTGAACTGATAAAAATTGGTCTACACAACTGTGGACGCTTGCTTCTCTAATTTAAAAG